AAGCTTTCACATTGTCTTTCTAGACGACATGTTTACAGCATACTTAAGACTGCCTGTTATTATGTTCATGTGATTTTCATACAGACCCTAAGGGAGTGTACTATTTACTAGCATTCTAAGTTTTTTACAGATTTCTTATATATATTAATATAGTGGAATTTTGTTTATTTGACATAGCAGAGGTCAAATAAACAAAAATGTACTAAAAAGTACTGTTTCTCAGTACAATTTACTAAGCAGGGGTAATAATGGCAAAAACAACATAGTAATGGAGGCTATTTCTAGTTCAAAATAAATATCAGAGATTAGCTGTAGAAAAAAACTTGAATACCTTATAAATAACACAAAAAAATAGAATTATGTACTTTTCCTATAAGAAAGCTAATCCATTTCAGAGAAATAACTAACACACACAGGTGGTTTCTCATTTGTCAAGTTCAACACCGGATTGACATCAGTCAGAGAACACCATTGAAAACCAGTAGGCAGTATACACTGGAGAGCTGTTTCGTCCTGCAGTACGCACCTACTGCAGGGATGGGTTCGAACCGAGGACCTTCGAATTTTTTTTAATCCTTCACGTTCCCAGTGGAACATAGGGCTTCAAGCTAACGGCTTGAAGTTTCTGTAGCAGTGGTGATTATTTTCAAGGGATGGGGTTGCTGGCCTCATGCCCAACCTTACCTCCCTACCAGTTTTATTACTGGCTTAGCGAGGTAAGGGAGGAGTGCATCAGTGGCTGGGGATCGAACCCGGGACCATTTGCATGGTCGGCGAGAGTCCTAACCGTTGTGCCACCGACGCGAATTACAAGGTTTTTATTAACACGACAAAAAGGACAAAGGTTTTGATAAAAAATACATACATGTAGTCTGATTGGATAATTTAGTGCTTCACTGAGTCAGCCTTGCTATTACTATTTTTCCAAGTTAGTGAAACGATCAAGACAACTACAAATCAGTAGACTGACACTTCCTCAGTTCAGTGGGATAAAAATTTTTTTAGCAGAGTGTATGTTGTTTGTGTGCAATTTAGGTATTTCAGGACATAGAGAAACTTGAAGATCTGCTCTGCACTGCAGGCAAAAATCAACAAGTTGGCAGAAGACGCAGGTAGAGAAGACAGGACACTTCAGGTGAATATATAGAGAAGACAAAGGTAGTGAAGATATCCAGCTATTAACAACAGCAAAAAAAACAAGCGCTAGTCCCAAACAAACGGGAGAGATTTGAAGGAGGTCGTCACTTGTCTCACTTATCTCTAGGCAGTATCATTTCAACTACAGACGGATTGGAAAAGTTACTCTGGAAATCTGCTGCAGCACCCAGTCAGTCAGCACAAAGGAACAAGATTCGTCTTCTCAACACCTAATATCAAGTCAATGCTTCTGTATGGTTCCGAGATTTGGTGTGTGTGTGTGTCACGAAGAAGTATTTCAAACAGGTTACTGAAGACTTTGGTCAACAGCTGTCTTCATTCCATACTGAAGATCAGATGGTTGATAAGGAGCAATCAACAACGAAGGATTGCGATGACGGACCAGGAGGAAATGAAAGTCTGTAGGTAATTGTAAAGGAATAAAACTTGTGCACTGTGGTAGAGTGCGATTCCATTATGGGTAAATTTTGTTTTGATAAAGTCTCACAGTGTTATACAGTAATGTTTACTGATGACGTTTCGAGCACAATTTATTGCCACTCATAATCATATCAAGGTCATCACACAACTTCCTAAATTCATTTATATAGTTCCATTGTTTTTCACTTGATTTTCACTTGATTTGATTGGTAGTATTATTTTCCATATTTCGGGTATTAGTGATGATTCATTCCTATTGCATGTGTTGGGTGTAGATTCGATGAACAAAGATTCAGTAATCAACCTCTCTCTATCTCCACCTACCTAGATTACTTTTTAGAATTTTAACCCTCTCCCACCCTATTGTGTGGTTGTGTGTTAATGCATGCATTGCAATTGCCGAGCTTTTTTCTAAATTACTTATCTTCTCTGGGTCAACCATTCTTACCTTAGCTAAATTCTTATGTTCTGACAATCTGACTACTCCTGACCTACTAGTTTGACCTATGTAGTTGACCTGACTCACAGTCATTGCAGGGTATTTTGTGAATTATATTATTTTGTCTAATTGGGTCAACCAACAGGGTTCTTTAACCTACAGAGCTTGTCCCTGAGTGAATTTGTAGGTTTAAATGCACACCCTAATTCCTGCTTTATTTAGAATCCTACGTAGGGTCTCAGATGTCCCCTCTTTATATGGTATAACTGTAGATGACTTATGTAGGCAATTGTGCAGTCAACTAAAAAAAGATCGTAGAGAAAAGTTGGAGATGAACTGCTGAAGCCTTATGTTCCATTAGGGACCCAAGGGAATAATAATAATAGTGATAAACTTCGTTAGTGTACACATAGGTGACAAGAACGCCCATGTGTGTACGCAGTGAGACCTTGTAGTCCTGGATAACATCTTAGATAGCATCTAATCATAGATGAAAGAATTTTGTGCCTTTTAAACAAAAAAAAACGTTAAGTTAAGCTAATAGTGAAGTGTATTTCACTTAGCTCATTAACAGTAATCTCCGTGTGTCTATGTCAGTAATTTATGCAAAGTCACATGAGTTGTACACATTTCTGACCTGATAATCACTGTTCAAAATGAAGAAGAAGAAGAAAATACGCAAAACTTTGGTAAACACAAAAATAGAAACTCCATGTGAAGGGGTTATTCACCTTGCTTAGCAGATGGATTCTCTATTTAACACACACAAATGTAGTGTTGAATAACCGAAGTCGTAAACAACTAACTTAGTTATGTTGAGAAAAGTTTAGGCTTATGTGTCTATCGGTGAGTACTATACATCTTCATTTAATTAAGTATAAAGCTTATTCAAACAAGTACTGGTTTGGTGTCATATATATTTCTATCTTTTATGTACAAAATAATAAGTCTAATAGAAATTGTGTGTACTGCTCAACTTTGATAGACTAAAAATGGGGGGTGGGTGGCACTCTTTAATAGGTTACTATCTCCTCCTACAGGGGAGTGACCGCATGGAGTGCATTGCCCCAAATCTCCATCAGCCTCATTCAACAGTTGTATGACAACGCCACGTGTCAGGCGACCCACAACAGAAAACTCGGAGAGGCGTTTAGAGTGAAGCCAAATCTGTTATCTATCATCACTGATGATATTCTTAATTGTGGTGGACTGGATTATGCGTCAGACTGTGAGTGGGTAGCAAGAAGACAGGAACACGCTGTACTGACCGACATGAAGACAAGACTCTAGAAGATCTGGATTTCGCGTGTGGATGACTTGTGCTTAATGTCACACAAACTCGAAGATTTGCAGGTAAAAAAGCATCAAACTGACAGCAGAGACTGGATGTCAGCGAAGACAGGACTGTAGGTGAACATAGAGAAGACGGAGGTGATGAGGATAACTAACCAACCAGCAGCAGGAACAACAACAACAACCATCAACGGGAGCGATTTGACAGAGGTTACTTCTTTCACGGTTTCAACCAAAGGCAGCCGGAACAGATGAGGATGTCAAAGTCAAAATGGGATTGGCAAGGTACACCTTCATCAATCTAAACTGACTACGGAAATCTTCTGCACTTCGTAGCACAAATGTGAAGTCAGTCAGTTCTTCTATATGGGTCAGAAACTTGCACTAAGCGTCACAGAAAAGATTGACGACAGCCAGTTACAGACTTTTATCAACAGCTGCTCCCTTCTCTGGCTCCATACTGAAGATTAAGTGGCTGGCAGGCCAGAAACATTTAGCAACAAGAAACTTTGCCAAAAAATCAAGCCAATTGGTCAAAAAAATATGTAGGAGAAAATGGAGATGGATAGGGAATACATTGAGGAGACCGTTGAATGACATCGCGCGCAATGCAGGCCATCACTCGAGTGGAACCCGAATGCGAAGCGACGAGTAGGACGACAGTGCTAGGGTGACATGGATGAGATCGTTTGGGGAGGAGGAGACGAGAGATTATAGGCAATCGGTAGTGTAGCTAGCCAGTTGAAGAAAACAGCACCAAATAGAACAAAGTGTTGATGTGTTGTTCAAGACCTGAGTTCCACTCGGACCCCTAAAGGGAACAATAATAATTGTAGAAATTAGAGGAAAAAAGAAACCAACATGAAACATTATCAAAACAAATCATATAATCAGAGTATTAGTCGCCAGCTCACTGAAGGCTACTGGATAGATTTTCTGAAGCCACAGTATAGTAAGTCGTGACCAGTCGGGGCCACCATGTCATGGTGAAGTGGGTGCTGACCAACGGCATAATTTAAAGCAGCGCTGTATTACGAGTTGACAAATTTACAATTTATGCCGGGGAGCACTGAATTCCAGAAGCCAGCCCAAGCGGCTGAAGTACCCGGGTCGCATCCCTGGAGGGTTTGTGTGTAACAACAGAAGACAAGGGCCAGGCAACAGATCATTTATTAAGGAAATCAACGCATATTTATATATTTCATGTACATCACTATGGATATTTAAGTAAACAAACACAGTCTTCCGATTGGTTGTTTCTCACGTAAAGTTAATCTTTCATCTATTTGTGACTGTTTCTTGAATGTCAAATCCTCTATATGTTAACTGCATCTGCCTACGCAAAGTCTGCTGTGGTCGGTTTTGAATCAATCTTTGTTCACATTTTCTCACGACAAATCTTGGGAACGTAAATATTGACGTAAATTACTGTCTACCAATTTGGCTAGTAGACAGCTCTCACCACATGCGGACTGTATGGGCTGGTGAAGAGTTCAGAAACAGAATGAAACAACTGTTCACTGCTGTGTGCTGGTTTACAGTGATCTCTTTAACTGATGTCGGTCCGTGAAGAACTTCTAACAGCTAAAAATAATTTAAACCATTAAATTTCAATTCTATGAGGTAGTTATTTCAATGATACATGCAAAAGAATTAGTGTTGGTTAAAAATATAAAAAAATACTACTTACTTGGATGCTTCTAGTAAACCGGCTGATAATTCCAAAAATACGGAAAGATAATTACCACGTACAACACCATTACCATCTGGATAGACTTTAAGACGCCAGCTCAATCCGCTTACATGCAACGGTTGACTGTAGACAGGATCAGCGCGTTGTTTCATTATTGAATATGGTTGTAGGATGAATGTGCTCGATTCATATGGAGGTACAATTTCGCTAGATTAAATTAGTGTGGGGAGGGGTAGGGAAACAACAACAGATTTTACATTAATTCATAGAAAAGCCGCATAAAATTGGTGTAGTGGAAAGGTGACTTGATATAATGAACAATGGCCCAGTATTGTTTACATTGGGCATTTTTACGTGTTCCAAATCACTGGCTTAGGTATTACAGTAGATATCATACAGTGATATTGACTTTCGATTTTTTAATTTTATTGATAACAGTATTTTACACATATACAGAGCAAGTAGTGGAAAATTTCTATCCCACCGACTATGCGTTCACACAATAAACAAGGATTCAGTGATTCAAGTGGTTTCCAGGCTAACTGTATTTAGCTAACATTTTCTGTTATGCAACAAGCAGAGAATCTAACTTGGTTGTCGAGTTTGCATATCTCAACGACCCAACGAGCGATACTGGCTGGAACGAATATTTCTGCAGGAACACTCACGCCAGGAACGAGGTTTAAATAGTGGTTAGACTAGAATCACTTACCACTGTACTGTAAGTCATTTAGACTATGTTAAGGAAGTGGTAATTTCTGCTGCTAAATCTGAACTGATGACTGACTGGTTTCAATACAGAACTTTGCACAGAGGTGCAGCAGTTCAAGTCGCCACACTTCCTCCTTGTAGCACACAAAGCAAGAGAAAAAAGTAGAAGAAATGCATAATAGAGACAGTAAACAGGGATATGAGACAAAGGAATAGTAATAATGAAGAACAATATAGTTTCATTTGAAATTATAAGTCACAAGGAGTGGATGCATCGGCGCCAGCCATTGAGAACGATCACTTTGTGCCTTATCACATATTGTCTCCAGCCTCCATTGGTTATTACCGTCCCAAGGGCCCCAACCAGTCAGGGAGTCTACACCTTCCTACGTGGCTGGCTTAAACTAACTGTTGTGGATTTCTTCATTGACTGATGAAGCCATGTTTTGGTTTGACCACCACCAGTGGCTCTTTTCCAACCTGATCCATCTTATGTCAGCTAACATTGCCAGTCGAGGAAGGCGATGGCTGGGCATACGTAACACATGTCCTAACCATCTCAGTCGATGTATCTTCACAGCCTCGTCTACTGATTTCTCCTCCTTACCTAACAATCGGCGCCTAAACTCAATATAGTTCACCTTATTATCCCACTTCACACGGGAGATAGAGCGCAGGCACATATGATCAAAGAAAGCTAATCAGGCTTTTCATGTCTTCCATTCTTAATCGCCAGGTCTCACAGCCATAAAGGAGGACGTAGCGGACTGCTGGGCATGCTGGTCATCTGAGGGAAACACCTCACTGCTGTTACATCCCCGTTCCCCATCAGTACGACTTTGCCCATGGACGCCCAGCATAGTATAAAAACAAAATTCTTAAAGTATGCTGAGAACTTGGTTTTAGTCCAGTCGCTATCCTAACAACCCTCTTGGCATGGTAGGACCTGCAGGAACAATAGTTCCAGTCAGTGTAGCTTGTTGGGTCATTGCAATATGCAAGCCCGACCACCACATCAAGGTAGTAGCTCTCGGTCAGGATCCAAACTGATATACGCAAGGAGACTGATTGCGGCGGAGCGAAAGCTGATCAAACATAAAAAGTCTTCGCAACGACCGTGAACAGTGGTGGGTGACAAAAGCAAAAAGGGGTGGAAAAGACATTGGCAATAGGTAACACCATACAACTATTCAGGCTTATCAGGGAAATAGGTGGCGAAACATAAATGATAAGTGAGACAATCTCCGAGAATAAAGGTACTCTAATTACCTCTCAGGATAGACGAGTGGAACGTTGGAAAGAACACTTTTGAGGAGCAAATTAACTCGTCTACAGCCACGTTCAACTTCCCCACCATCCAACATCTACCTCAACAGGTTGTAGATACCAGTCCTCCATCTATAACCGATGTTACAAAGGCTATCTTCAACCGTAAAAGAGTGAAAGCAGAACAATATGACGGAATGACTACACAGGTGTTTAAGGACAGTAGTCAGACAGCTGTCTGGGTGAACTAAGCCACTACACAATGTCTGAGAATGGGAGATAGTCCGGTTCGACTGGTGTAAGCCATTCATCACCCCGGTATACAAGAGGGAAGAAAAGTTTCCTTGGTAATCACATGGGGATTAGCTTGACTAATATGGTATCTAAAGTTCTAGGCTCAAAAACGTGCTAACATTAAACGGCGCTAAGCAGAAACATAAGCGAGGAAACCAGGCAGGCTTTAGACTGCGAAGACAGTGTACTAATCATATTTCTACCCTTTGACAGATTCTGGAACATAGGCATACTTACCGGAGTCCAAAAGTTGATATACTTCTTCACTTGAAGGCGGGATTCCACTCCATCGACCGAGAGGTATTATGGAAATGTTTAGCCATGAAAGAAGTGACAAGAAAGTACATCAAACTAGCCAACTCACTTTACTCAAATTCACTCTAAATGACTTCAGTGACTCAGCGATTTACTCGTTACCAGGGGATAGTCTTGTTCACATAGAATATGCAAATGATGTAGTTCTTCTAGGCGAATTAGCTGACAAAATGCGCAGTCTTCTAAACATCCTTGAGCAGCAAAATTCGAATATCTAGTACTCAATTCAAACTTGTCAGATGTAAGATGACTACGACTCTAGACTACATCAACTCCTAGCTTAAAGTGAGAGGTAGTGAAGTGGTAGAGTACGTTGATCATTTCACTTATTTGAGATGTTGCATTAGCCCCAATGGGCTGATCACTGACGAAATCTCAGAACGAATATAAAAAGGTCTCGTGTGGGATTAGACAACCTGCATCATATCCCAAATAGACGTGAAATCCGGCTGGCTAGCGATCAAACGACATGTATACTGCACAACAGCAACAACAGTAGTTCACTCCGTCCTCCTTTATGGCTGGATGTGAGACATGACCATTGAAAGTGCAAGATATGAAAAGCCCAACTAGCTGTCATCCATCATAGGTGTCTCCATTATATCTCCCGTGTTAAGTGGTATAATAAAGTGAGTAATATTGAGGTGAGTCACCAAGTGATAAGTGAGGAGTGTAAGTCAATCGATGAGGTTGTAAAACTTCGTAAAACTAGGCATGACTAGCTATCACCCTCCTCGACGGGCAATGTCAGCTGACATAGGGAAAGAGGTATCAGTGGTCAAACCACAACATGGGACCAGTCCATGAAATCTTTAACAGTTACTTTGAGCCAACCACGTAGGGAGGTGTAAACTGCCTGGTTGGAGTCCTTAGGATTCTATGAACCAATGCCTTGAAACAATTGATGACATGGTTCAAAATCGTTCTCAATGGCAAAGATATGCCACATTCATTAGACCCTAATTGTTACTCCATGTTCCTATTCATTCTCCCTCAATTTTCGGCTTATTACACTCCTTTTCAATCCTCTTTTTCTGCCTTCACGAGTTTCATGGAGTGGGACAACTTGAACTCCTACTGCACCTCCTTGCAAAGTTCTACGTTGAAACTCGGTAAGTCAGTCATCTGGGTGTTTCCCTCAGACGACAGACAAGCCAGCTATGTCCACTCTCCACTCGGGAGACGGGGTCAGAGAGAAGTAGACTACGGAAAGTGAGCATCCTACTTACCTCCAGGTAGTCCTTAGTTGATAGTGAGATCTCCATGCGGACACAACTTTCAAAACCGCTTTAAACTGGCCATGTGTAACCTGTTTCGAACAGTTTTCGCTTGAGTTACGCAATAGCACAACACTAACACTCCTTCTTTGTTAGGTTCCCTAAACTTCTACAAGCAGACAAAGCTTTCCTGATCATCCCTCACCTTCATCTTCTTGCTTTCTTCCCAGTGTTGATGCTGTATTACAAGCAAGGTCTCTCACCTTCTCTTAAGTTTGTGGCCCCTATAGAGTCTCGAGCCATGAACGTTAGTTGTGTTTCAGACACATGGATACAAAACTTGAATATGGTTACTAACTCAACTCCACCTGGGCCACAGTGTGAATCTACAAAGTTCACTTAACAGTTTTCATGAGACTATTCGAAGAGTTTAAAACGACGTGGAAGTGTAATGAAGGCACCGAGTACTACGCCAGAAAAATCCCTACATGACTGTATCCCGGTGCATCGTCTTATGTGTGTTTTCTGGCTAAATGCATCAGTGAAGTTCATTCCGTATTCAGCGAAGTCTAAAAAGTACCCAGTCATCACGATCTGCACAAATAATACAAACTACATGCAATTACACTGCCTTCTGGATAAGATTCGGATTGTGATTAATATATTTTGTTACAAGTAGGGTATTGCATTTTCTAACTTAGCGTCCACATACTTAACAACGTTAGTGACACAAGCAAAAATGGAATAGGGGAATGACACAAGGTCGGTAAAAAATGGAAGATGAGGTATGTCGTATCCAGATGCACGAATAGGGTTCAGATAACGCCAGAAAATTAGATCAAAAAAAAGCAAAAAGGAAAAAGCGTTCCGTTACGAAAAATACAGTTACCCTAATGTTAGATAGTTGGTGGCTATCAGCAGGACTTTTGGTCACCTAAGTTGAGTGATAGAGGGAGAAGGCGAATGACTTACTATCCAATTAAAGCATACAATCTTATGTTTTTACGAGTTGATCACGGACTGATATCAGTTAGAGAACCATTGAAAACCAGGGAGTACTGGACAGCTGCTGTTTCATCCTAGTTTTGGAAATCATCGGCAGTACGCACCTTCCGGTTACGAGGCAAGCTAGTATACCATTCAGCCACTGGGACCCGATTCAATGACAAACCCTTACAAACCAAAGTATAGAGTTTCCTGGAGTTCTAGTGAGAAGTCGTGACCCGTGAGGTCCAATTAGATGTAACGTGTGAGGATGGATGTCCTACCAACGACATTGGTTGACGTCGCGTTAAAATCACGAATTGGTAGAAGTTAGAATTCATGAGCCGTTGAATCAGGTCCCAGTGGCTGAATGGTATACGAGCTTGCCTTGTAACCAGGAAGGTCCTGGGTTCGAATCCC